TAGTTTTGTGGCCTGTACGAGTTTCTGCTGCCACAGCGGGTTCTGACCGAAACCTAGTCTCCACAACACTGTGGTCTGAGTTGCCCAGGGGGGACAGGACAGCAGTGATGTAAGGGACAGGATGCGTGGTCAGAAAGAGATCCAGCAGGCTACTGGTGTGTGACGAGACGCGGGGAAAAAGTAGGGTTCGTCACCAGCTGGGTCAGCCCTTGAGTAAAGGCAAACGCTTCGACTGCACGACCTGCTGCATCGGCCCAACCAAGGCTCATTATGGGCATTGAAATCACCGAGAAGAACTACCTCTGAAGCGGGATGATTGATGTTCAGGAAGTCGATCTGGACGGCGAGGTATTCGAGTAGGTCATTCCAGTTATGGTCCGAGGGAGAGCGATAAAGGAAGCAAATAAATTAGGGTGATGTTTTGGAGTTGAGGCGAAGCCACAGAATATCCTTTCGGTCTGATTTCAAAGGAACATCTCTGGAGCAGGAAAGACTGCTGCGGACAAAAGCCACAACTCCCCCGTTCTTTCTCAGATTGGAGTGCACCTCGTAGTTTGGGAAGTTAAGGTGGTTAATCGGTGCAGACTCTGAGATTTTTATCTCCGCCAAGAAAATCGCGGCGGGGCGATTGGATTGCCGGTAGTGATGAACAGCATCAATGTTGCTGTTAATCCCGCAGATGTTCGAAAAACAAATTTTATCTTCGATGTTGTTCCCTCGAGCCCACCCTCCACCGGGACATTCCGCTTTCGTTCCTGCCATGAGTCTACAATCGATAGGGTAGTCAACACACCTAGCTAGTACAAATAGTAGAACGCAGTACAGATTTTGCAAATATCGCAAACTGGCATAGAGAGGAAGCGTGAACAGGGGTATCAAAAAAAGTGACTCAACGTTGGTTAAAACATCTTTATTCTTTAAACTGCAACGCAAAAGCAAGGAAGGCCGTTGCGAAGCTAAGAAGTTCCAGAATCGTGCTCATATTAATCTCTAATATAAATGCCGATACCTTAGGCGAGTTCCCCACTGAAATCTGTGCCAATTCCACGAGAGCTTTTCTATTGTTGAAGCTCATAGGCTGGATCTCGATCAGTTCCAGACACTTAAATGTTATCTTCTCCGATACAGCTGTTATTTCATTGGCGCACAGTATTATGCCTAAAAACAATAGCTGAAATATTTGACAAATATTAGTATCCTTATACGATTTTTCGGATGAGTGCATCCCCAACAGCGATTTTAGTTTAGTTAAGTAAGCAAAACAACTTGATAGGTGAAGGAAAAATGGGCGACGGCGGGATTCTAACCAACGTTCGGCGCCGACTGTATAGTCAGGGCTTAACAGGGTGCTCGCGTGGGTGCATTGCACGGTGCTCGGTGCAAATCAGCGGCGCGCCAGCCGCGGCCTGGTGTGAATCCCTCTCTATTCTCCACATTTTCGCGCCGCTGACTCTCTGTCTTCTCGCCAGTGTTGCCAGGTGGAGTCGACGATATTTTGGTAGAATTATATGGATGTTTTCGGTAGTTCGAATACCAAAGAGTAAGGCATTTACTTGAAACAATTTTATTTAACTCAAAATATACTCTAAAACAGAAAGACAAAACAAAAATAAACGGTTTATATCTCACTCTAGCTAACTAAAAATAAAATATTCTTAATAAAAAAAGAAAGTGTACAAAATAAAAAAATGTGTACGCTATATTGGATAATCATTCTTCCGATTCATTTTTGTATAAGTTTTTATCAGTCATATTATCTACTAATTTTGCTTTGCCAAATGGTCCATCAGCAGTAATGGCAAATCATTCTCGGCGCCAAAAATGCGCTCAAACGAATTTCTCCTGGAAATAATAAAATAATCTAAAATCTTCACAAATAGATTAATTTTTTTAATTAATATCTTTATCACAGACCATGCATTTCACATAATCGCGCTTTTTATTGCTTTTTTAAGCCAGCCTTGGAAATCTGGCAATTCTTCCCAGTCTTCCTTATAATGTTGGGCACTACTAAGCACACGAAATCATACAAATCGTACAATACAGGCATGGACTTGTCACGAGCCACTGGGCCTAGGCGATGTAGCCAAATCATCGAGTATCTTCGGTGATTCCCCAGATGCGAAGAAACAGCGTATGTGACACACCAATGTCAGGTAAAGAGAATAAAAATATATCTGGTCTAGTACGAATAATAATAGTACTTTTGCCATTCTTTTTATCGCTATGCATCACAAATATTTCTCTTATACAGGGTGTTTCAGTTTATTATTGCATAACTATAAGATTCCATAGAACTTTTGAAATTAATGCATATAGTCTATATAAAGATGGGTTGAAAAATGCGTGGCTTCCGAAATACAGAGTGTTGAAATTTACTTACACTTTATACTCTACAGTGAAAATTGGTATACAAGGGTTTCTAGGTATGACAAAACGAACCATGGACATAGTTTTACCGTATCCGCTAGAGGGCGCTCTCTACTGTACCTGTAGTGCATTAAAATTATCGAAAATTTTTTCTTCGTGCAATTTTTTGCTTTTTGAATAAAAAAACTGATTCTTTGCACTTTTCAACATAAAAAAGCTCTCTTGTGAATTTTCGTTATAGTTACCCGTTTTTGAGATATTTCGATTTTTAAGGTTCGATGCATTTTTTATTATTTATGGGAAAATAATATTTTTTTTACATTTTCGATTTTTGCATTACAAGTAATTAAGATGATCGTTTAGAATGTGTTTTTAAACACAGCAATAATTCCTAACTGCAAATAAACACAAAAAAACAGAATATTAATTTGTTTAATTTTCCAATATTATTTTTAACAAATTAAATTAATTATTTACAATTAAAATGCTATTGGATAGTTAGGACAAAGATACAAAATCTAAAGTAGTTGCTCGAAATGTAAACCCAATTGTTTAATAGACAATTCACATCTACGAATGATCGAACGTGGTATAGCATTATTCAAATAAGGCCTCATTTCATCACATGCATTCCTGATTCTGTCTATTAGCATATCTCTTGTGGTTACGGGAGTCTGCTACACTTTTTTTTTTAGAAATCCCCACACAAAGAAATCTAATGGATTTAGGTCAGGGGATCGTGGAGGCCAGGCGGCTGGTCCTCCACGGCCGATCCATCTTTCTGGATAATTTTCGTCCAGCCAGTTTCTAACTATTCTCGAATAATGAGCTGGACAACCATCAAGCTGGAACCAGGCGCATCTTCTTAAATCTAACATAACATCATCCCACATATTTGCATGTTCAGCCTTTAAAAATTCCAAGAAGGTTGCAGCATTTAATCTTGCAGGCAAAAGATAGGGTCCAAATAGTCGATTACGGTAGATACCAATCCACACGTTCACACTAAATTCATGAAAATTTCTTTCCCGAACTGCATGCGGATTTTCATGCGACCAAATATGTTGATTATGAAAATTTACCACTCCACGTCTAGTGAAGCATGACTCATCGGTCCATAAAACGTTACTTAAAAACTCCCTATTATTATCAGTTCTATCAAGAATCCACTGACAAAATGTGATTCTTCGTTCTCCGTCCCCTGGCTGTAGTCCTTACACAGGTTGCAAATGGTAAGGACGTCTATGGTCATTTCTAAGAACACGGTGAACATGGCTTGCTGAAAGTCCCAAGGCACCAGAAACTCTCCTAACATTTGTGGTCGGATCTCTATCAAACTCACGCAGAATCATACGGGTAAATCTGCGCTGATGAACATTTATGTTTTGATCCCTTTGGAGATTTCCAAAACCATTTTAAATTATTTGGCGATGCACTCTTCTAAATACTGAGCGAGTTGGATGTCGTCTGTTTTGAAATCTTCGTGCGTATTCTCTGGCTGCTTCTGCTGCGTTTCCATTTACAGAGCCATACACAAAATGAATATCCGCTAACTCTTGATTGGAGAATAAAAATGGCATTTTTATATAAGACTTACAAAAAAAAAACAGGTAAAAGAAACTAAATTTCGTGCATTCACAATTGCAAAAAACGTTTCAGGTTTCAACAGACAACAAAACTAACTGTCAACTAATTGACGTTTAACCTTATTCTGCTTTCAATTTCAAAAATATTTGCAGGCACAGCCTACTTCTAAAAATTATTGAGATACTGACTTTTTAACGTTATTTTATCATAAATAATTAAAAATGCATCGAACCTTAAAAATCGAAATATCTCAAAAACGGCCAACTATAACGAAAACTTACAAGAGAGCTTTTTTATGTTGAAAAGTGCGAAAAATCAGTTTTTTTATTCAAAAAGCAAAAAATTGCACTAAGAAAAATTTTCGGTCATTTTAATACACTACAGGTACAGTAGAGAGCGCCCTCTAGCGGCTACAGTACATGGTTCGTTTTGTCGTACCAAAAAACCCTTGTATACCAATTTTCACTGTTATACATCAAATATTTAAAAAAAACTATTTTAGAAAGTAAATTTGAACACCCTGTATTTCGGAAGCCACGCATTTTCGACCCATGTTTATATAGACTTTATGCATTAATTTTGAAAGTTCTATCGAATCTTAAAGTTATGCAACAATAAACTGAAACACCCTGTATAGGGAACAAAAATTATTCAATTGAAGGAAAAGTCCACTTTTCGGTAGATTTTGCTTTAAAATCGGTAGTTCGGTAGACCAGCACCAAAATCGGTAGATCTGCCAAAAAATCGGCAGACCTGGCAACACTGGCGGGACTCTACCCGATCCAGCCGAGTAACTCCGACCGCACCCGAGCCGACACGATGCACGGCGCACAGCGGCTTTGTACTGCTTTGTTAAGCCCTGATATAGGTAAATTCAATACTATCCACGCTACTGTTCCCTTATTCTTTCAAGCTGATTGAAGCCCCATGCCAAACTGGTCAGCTATTTCGAATCGTTTTCTAGTTGTGCCACGCGGCCTCCGCGGTACAACCATCATCTTGAGAGAGGAAAAATAAACACAAAAGCAAACATTAACTGTTTTTTAAGTTTCAGTATATTGTCTTACCACCAATGTGCCAAACGTTGGTGTCAGTATCTTGTTAAAATAAATATACTGATCTGCCAACATTGCGACTGAGATAATAAACGTCAGGAATGAAAGATGCTCAAACATATTGTTGTACATATCTACAAAATCCTTCAGCTTTTTATGGCATTTAATAATCCTTTGCATATTCTCGAACGGTTCCGCGTTGTTTCGAAGAGACTCTGAAAAATATGTTGAAGATAACATAGGAAGGTAAGCCGATCTAGACATTTGGGCGACAGTGGTCAAACATGCTCTTTTTTATAAAAAAAATGTGAAAAATACCTATAAGTATGTTTTATGTCTTATAAATTCGATTTTAACTGTTGAAACGATTTTTTTCGTAATTGTGTAAGGTTTAGCCTTCAAGTAATCATCCGCTGCAGTTCTTCCTGATACAATCAGGGATGTGGATTATACTAGGTGACAAACAGAAGGTAAACACATACGTGTAGTCTAAATCACGAAACATGGCGATTACGTCATCATTTTAGTCTGTAGTAAAGACTAACGATAGCGATTTGTGAATATTTTTAATGAAAAACAAGAATTTTATTGTCTAAACAAACTGTATTGCTAAGTCGCAGGTATCCGACAAAGATAGACGATGTTTTCATGTTGCATGATCGATCATATTTGGAAGATGATTTGTTAGGTTATGTTAAAGCAGGTTAGGTTGTTTTCGAATAATACTTTGGTCTTTGGTGTTCCTTTCTTAAGGTATTCTATACATAACTGTTTTTTTCAAAACAATAACTCCCCACTAAAATTATTATTAAGGTATCACTCAAAACCATGAAATAAAAAGAAAATAAAAATAATCAGTGAAGTAACCTAACTTCGCAAAATCATAATATAAATTTGTTGTCATTATCGTGATTTTGTCATCGACGTATGGTGTATCTGAAGTCACTTGAAATAGCATAAAAACCTTTGGTCGGCGCGTCCTTTGTAATTTCATGACGTATCATAGGCGTGCGGCATTTATTTAGAACGATAATAATAATGTTTTCACAATAAATGGATTTTACTATCTTCTTATTTTTTTGATTTGAGATAAAAAATACTTATATTGGGAGTTTAATTTATGTTGACTGAAAGTTAAGAAATGGAAAAATTACAGAATTCCAACGTTTGACATAGGCAAATATTTACATAGCAGGTAGGTATATAAAAAGGTATATAAAGACTTACATTATAGGTATTTATATACCATCCTCGCCTTCGGAGCTGTCGCTAGAGTCATCTTGTAGAGGAATTACAACGGGATTTACAGGAGGCAAAACACAATATTCATTTTCTTTTTCAATAATATGCCTAGAACACTGCTTCCATAGGTCTGTGGCAGCAATATGAGATACTGCATCTCTTATTGTGGCCAATAGTGATTCACTTAATTGAGGGGTCTGATTATGTTTTCTTACTTTTTTTTTTAAAGGAGCCCAGACCAACTCAATCGGGTTAAAAATGCAGTAATAGGGAGGTAGACGAAATACTTTATGGCCATTTTGCTGAAGCAAATTGTCAACAACATACTCTTTTTCAAATTTTTGTCTTTTAATAAGATCCAATAATATGGCTTTGGTTGATTTTTGTGGTATTTCCATTCCCTTATCCTTCATAAAATCAATAATGTCTTGTTTTTTTGTGCCTGTATTCGGAATTTTGTTTTTCTGTCGGGAATGGTATGGCGCATTGTCCATAATAATCACTGAATTTGGGGAAATGTTTGGTATTAACCGCTGCTCTATCCACTTTTCAAATAAGTCGGAGGTCATGTCCTCATGATAGTCGGCACATGATTCTTTGATATTTTTGGCAGATAACAGCAAGAAGGCATTAGGTATAAATCCATTTTCACTGCCAGCATGGAGAATAATGATTCGTTTCCCACGGTTGCATGGTGCAATTAAAATGCACTTGTTGCTGTCGTCAACCCAGCCGTACTGCACAACATCATGGGTATCATACCACGTTTCATCCAGGTAAATCAGATTTCTTTTCTGCTCTCTATAGATTTTAACTTTGTGCAAAAATTCTTGGCGCAATTCAACGATTCGAGACGACTTCATAATCACCATTCTTTTATCTAATTTTTTGTATTGAAAACCACACAGTTTTACAATACAGTGCAGTGAGTCTAAGCATTTGTAATTATAAAAATCTTCAGGATAATCTTTTAATTTATCCCGTATCATTTCCAACGTGGGCACCAAATTTTCTTTATAAAATCCGTATATTATACGACGAATATCTTCCTGAAAACCCACGTCTATTCTTTTTAATTTTTGCCCTATGCGCTTTCTGTGGAAGGAATGGTTGACTACATCTCCCATTTTTATAACCCGATAAATGGTAGACCGACTGATTTTTGTCAGGATACAAATTCTGTTTAAAATTTGATTTTGCGAGGAATCTGGATTTTCGTTTTTCAGACAATCATACATATTTAGGATTACTCTTTGGGTCTGTTCCTCTAAATCTTTATGAAAGAACTCTGCCTGCACAGGTTCATCAACCATCTCCTCGTGGCTTGGAGCATTTTCCCAAGGTCTCCAAAGAGCCATATTTAGGACACACAAGAACAATCAACACAACAATTAAATCAACAAGTAAAGTGAGTATTCAAAAGTCAAAAACACACAAACTAATAAAATCTATGAAAAAACAAGGACAGACTAAAGAAAACACGTTTATTCACCGCTACACGTCACTGGCTAAACTGTTTCAATTTTCAGTAGCCACCTGCACTTGTTCCGAGCTCTGAAATACACGCTTTCTCATTGGCTATGTCCACGCATAGGCGTGCTTTACTCCACGTGGACCGGTGAAACTGCCTTTGATCTCTTATACGGGGGATATTTGCTGCGAAATTTGGCGGTTTTTGCAGCAACAGAGCGTGTTAAATATAGATATATAAAACGCACCCGGTATTTCACAGTGTTTCAAGTGACTTCAGATAAAGTATACGTCCATTGATTACTCCAGTACAATTTATGGTATGACGTAATAGTCATCTTTCGTGATTTTGACTATATGTTTAGAATTTTTCACATATCGATTTTTCTTGCCACGAACAACAAGTGATAGAATGGCCAGCATTCTGTTTTCGTACATTTATAGTGTCAGTTAAATGTTAAATTTCGTAAAGCTTATTGAGAAGCCTTTTTCTGAATTCTCAAAATGCCTAGAGCGAGCGAGGAGTTCTGGACGTCCCAGAAGTACCACAGAGCGACAAGAACGCCGGATAAGACTTCTGGCTCTGAGAAAAAGACAAATAAGGATTCCATGTTGACTGTCTGAAAAGAAAAGTGAAATTTCCAGCATTCATTATGGTCTGGGGCGGTATGTCATCAAAAGGAGTAGAAAAACTTCATTTTATCGATGGAAATGTGGATACAAACAAATATTTGGCAACTTTAGAAGAATCGCTTTTACCAGTGATGAAAGAATGTTTGACATCCGGCCAAGATTTTGTGTTTCAGCAAGATGGTGCAGCGTGCCATACCTCAAAAAAGGCTATAAAACGGATTGAAGAAAATAATGTACCACTTTTGAAATGCGTTTCTAGCAGTCCAGATCTGTCACCTATTGAAACTTTGTGGCACGAGATGAAAAAGGTTCTACGACAACATGCTGCTCGTACAATCACCGAACTGGGACAAAAGCTTCAAGAAATATGGAATTGTGGTGGTCTTTAGTGACGAATCCCGCTTCTACCTGGCGATGCACGATAGTCGAGCAAGAGTGAGATGACAACGTGATGAAAGACGTGGCCCACAATTTGACAGAGAGCGTTACGTTCACCATACCTTGCGAGTTATGGTATGGGGTACTATTGCTTATGGTCGTAGATCACCACTAAATTTCATCAGAGGCAATATGAGAGGAAGTCTTATTCCATACCTAAACACAATCCAAAACCACATGACTTCGAAGTTGAGTCATTTATTTTAACAGTGAGTAGACCTGATCAAAAGAAATGTTTTTTTCCTTTACCATTTTTCTGGTAAAATTAAAGTAACAAAGTTATAGCCCTTTGGAAGTTTGGGTACCGCCCTGTCTCAATAATAATATTATGTGCTCGTGTTTGGCAACAACGGATATAATCCGCGTTATCGGTTCATCGCATCGGAAACAAAAAAGCGAAAGAATTTGGAACGATGTTTTTACAATTATTTTATTCAGTTGTATACAGTCAGTGTCAGTCGATAACGCGTGAGTGAATAGTGGTGTCTGTTGCGTGGCTCAAACGAAATCAAAAATGGCACATGTTTACGAGAATGCTGAACTTGTGGACATGATTCTTATTTACGCGGCATCACGGATTTATACGGATCGGTTTCCCAATCGAGTGCAACCAACCCCTCGTGCCTTTGTTAATGTAGTACAAAGGGCTCGTGAATCAGGTGATTTAAGACCTCACAGGGGAGGGCAAGCCGGTGCTCCAAGACCGCACGATCAAATACAGGTCCGCACTGAAATACTTGTCGGGAGGATACTTTATAAAACAAGGTAACATTTTTTTTTATTTTTACACACATATTTTGGTTTATCTTCCTTCTACAATCATTATCTGAAAATTAATGACTCAACTTCAAAGTATGCGACAAATTATTAAAATCGGATAAACATAGGCGTAGGCGTTTACCTTTTTTGTCACTCTGTATACAGGGTTATCCAAATTAAGTGTCCACCATTAGTAACTTTGTTATTAGTGAAAATACAAAGTTGTTTGAATTAGCAAACTAGTAGCATTTTTAACGCTGGTAAAAATGAGAAATAAAAAAAAACAATTGAGAGTCGTTATTTTGATTTTTTTCAGTAAAATAACATTTTTTTAAATGGAAACCCCTGTATATTATATTTTTTTCTGTTAAAGCATCAAATTTTAAACAAAAAAGTTCATAATGACTTTTCCGCTAAAGTCAAAAATAAAGTCAAAATAACGATAAATATTTTTAATTATTTGCAGTATTATAATATTAAGACGGCTATGAAAACAACATGGCGTTCGCGATTTGACAGCATTAAGATAAGCGACAAATTGTTAAACTGGACATACTCGCAACTAGAAGGCTTTGGAAAACAATGATAAAATCAAATAATGTCAAACATTAGTGTAAATACTTGTTTATAAGCTTTATTGTGTCATTAATTTAAAGAAAAATGTTCTCCCATGAAGAAAAGTAATATGTTAGAATGCTATTTAGTGTGTAGAAAATCCTCCTTGAGAGCAAGAGAATACTACAGTGAATTATATCCCGCTCGCATTCAACCGTATGAACGATATTTTCTGAGACTTTATCGAAAATTTAGGGGCAAAATGTTTTTGCTAAAACAAGGGCAAAAAAAGAATTCATAATAAGCGAGGCCACGGAAATTGCAGTTATTGGATATTTTGAAGCTTATCGTGAGAATTCAATAGCAGATATTCTCAAGGACTCTAATTTCAGTTATGGTACTGTTCAAAGGATTTTAAAAAAATACAAATTTATTCCGTATAAGTACCGACCAGTTCAAACGCTTTTGGCAGGGGATCCAGAGAGAAGACTTGTTTTTTGCCATTGGTATCTTAGCTTCTGTCGCCAAAATGTAAATAACTTTCGTTACCTTTTATGGACAGATGAATCAAATTTTTCAAATTCTGGAATGTTTAATAGAAAAAACCACCATTATTGGTCAAGAGAAAATCTTTTGTTAGTACATCCAAGAGGCCCACAAGTCCGTTTCAGTTTCAACGTTTGGTGCGGTATAATTGGTTCAAAAATTGTTGGCCCGTTCTTTTATGAGGGAACCCTAACTGGTGAAAGATATGTGGAATTTATGTCAGAAATTCTGACTAATTTCTTAGACGAATTGGATCTTATAAGTAGACATCATCTGCATTTTCAGCAAGATGGCGCACCTGCCCACAACTCCAGAGGTACTTATCATTTTCTAAGTACTACTTTTAATGATCAGTGGATAGGAACAAATGGCCCAATACAGTGGCCTCCCAGATCACCAGATCTAAACCCACTTGATTACTTCTTGTGGGGTTACTTAAAGAACCAAATTTACAAGCGAAGGTACGATAACCTTGACGCGTTAAAGACTGCAGTTAGGGAAAAGATAACCCAGATAGATGGTAGGACCATACTTAAGACAGTTCGAGCAGTTGAAAAACGTGCCCAAAAATGTATTGAAGAACAAGGTGGTGTTTTCGAGCATCTTCTTTAAAAAAAATTGTTATTGTATTTTGTAAGATTATAAGTTGATGTTGAAAATAAAGTTTGTCGATACAATTTAATTGTTTCAGATTGGAGGCCATAACTTCAACAATTTGTAACCTAGGAGAAAAGTTATTGTAAGCTTTTTTGTTTAAAATTTGATGCTCTAACAGAAAAAAATATAATATACAGGGGTTTCCATTTAAAAAAATGTTATTTTACTGAAAAAAATCAAAATAACGACTCTCAATTGTTTTTTTTTATTTCTCATTTTTACCAGCGTTAAAAATGCTACTAGTTTGCTAATTCAAACAACTTTGTATTTTCACTAATAACAAAGTTACTAATGGTGGACACTTAATTTGGATAACCCTGTATTATAGAATCAATCTGAAAACTTACCATCCAGAATTTTTTCCAAGTACTTATACATCCACCTAAGATTCTCAACAAGAATCAAAGGCACCGTGTGAACTGCCATACAATGAAACATTCGGATGTTTTCTATAACTGCAACAACCAGACCAGTATTAATGACGTGATATATCATCAGTGTTTGTGCTGGTAGTCCCAACACCAACAGTAGCAACGTAATGGTCAACCACCTGCGGCTTCTCGGCGGGGCAGACATCTTCCCAAAATATCTTTCTAGCCGGTATTGGTACAGAAAGTATTTCCTCCATGTATTTTTCCTGAACACCGCTGAAATAACTAAACTGAGACTTAAAGCGGACACCGCCAAAACGTATCTCACAAGCAAGTAACATTTTTCGACGAGAGGTCGCGAATCGGAAAGGAACAGAAATTCCGAAATGCAGTGGTAAGGCAAAGTCAGCCGCATAATTACACACAAGGTGCTTGCCACCTTGCTGGGTTGCATCCCCCCATTATTCTCGAAGCTTATCCAAGGGTAAGCCAAAAATATGCAGCAAATGTTGTAGCAGATTTTTGATAATTTTGCGTCCATCGTGCAGCACAGGTAGACCCCGATGTCTGGTCACAACTGCCCTCTAAACAAATGAATCATCAACACTACATAGCTGTTATCTTACATCGCAAAAGGGTGATATGTAAATATAACCCTGCTTAATGTTCCTACGGAACTCCAATTACTTAGTCCAGGTGGTATATTTACATCTGCCCGGAAAATTACACTGATCCGTATTTCTTGCATAATTTCATTAGAAAAGCACCCCTTCGCGGAAAAGCTGATTTTTGGAATTTGTTTACAAAAATGTTCAAGCATACGACACATTTTTTTTTCAGGCACATTTTTTATTCGAAAAAACGATTCCGCTATTGGAAACGATAATCTTTGAGCTATACTAAGTGACATATAAATGGTTTTATTTTAATAAAAGTTGGTGAATGTATTTATCTTACTGTAAATAACAAGTGAAAAAATGTTCAGCCTTATCAGTTGGACATTCCGGTTTTTATACTGCTTTTTTTTTAATTCACTAACGCTCTAAAAATGAATATTTCAGCCGCAGTAAAGAATCAACGTTGGCGGATTTTGGCTCTTGACATCCTTTACGATCGGTTACGATGCCTAGAGTACGGAGACCTGTACGATTTCGTCAACTTAGTGAGTTTGATAGGGGCCGTATAGTGGGACTTCGGGAAGCTGGACTTTCTTTTCGGGCAATTGCAGTTAGAGTGCAAAGAATTGTAGACACTGTGGTTAGGTGTTGTCAGGCATGGCTTCGAGAAGGCCGTACGCAAAGAGCAAGGGGCACTGGATGCCGCCGTAGAACAACAGACCGTGAAGATCGCCGCCTAAGATTATTGGCCTTAAGGGACCGTTTCTCCACTACCAGGTCCATTGCAAATGAATGGTTTGCAGAACACGGAAGACCTATTGGCATGCGAAGTGTTTACCGACTGAGCGAGGGGCGTGGCAAATGCTTGTTCCGGAAGTCGTTGTATCCAGTATACAACTTCTTCCCGTCCAAGTGATTGCGCACGCGTTAAGGAATACCTCAGTACCGATACTTTAGGTCTATTTAACATCACTGATACGTAAAAAGAAGGTGGTAGACAAGGACCAGTCGACCGAGGCAGTACCACCCGCTAGCTTTTCCAAGGGTGTCTTATAAATGTCCGCATGTTTCCACACCTAAGCTATGCAGTCGGTTATCTACCAAAACAAAGAAATTAATGATGATGGATCCCTCGAGCACTAAAAACTCCGGACGTAAACTCACTCCACTCTCGGAATGTCCGGGTGGAGGGTGGGCTCGAGGGAACAACATCGAAGATAAAATTTGTTTTTCGAACATCTGCGGGATCAACAGCAACATTGATGCTGTTCATCACTACCTACAATCCAATCGTCCCGCCGTGCTTTTCTTGACGGAGACAAAAATCTCAGAGGCTGCACCGATTAACCATCTCAACTTCCCAAACTACGAGGTGCACTCCAATCTGAGAAAGAACGGGGGAGTTGTGGCTTTTGTCCGCAGCAGTCTTTCCTGCTCCAGGGATCTTTCTTTGGAATCAGACCGGAAGGACATTCTGTGGCTTCGCCTCAACTCCAAAACATCACCCAAATTTATTTGCTGCCTTTATCGCTCTCCCTCGAACCATAATTGGGATGACTTCCTGAACATCAGACACCCCGCTTCAGAGGTAGTTCTTCTCGGTGATTTCAATCCCATAATGAGCTTTGGTTGGGCTCAAATAAGACCGATGCAGCAGGTCGTGCAGTCGAAGCGTTCGCTCTTACTCAAGGGCTGACCCAGCTGGTGACGAGCCCTACTTTTTTCCCCCGCGTCTCCTCACACGCCAGTAGCCTGCTGGATCTCTTTCTGACAACGCATCCTGCCCCTTACAGCACTGCCGTCCTGTCCCCCCTGGGTAACTCAGATCACGGTGTTGTGGAGGTTAGGTTTCGGTCAGAAGCCGCTGTGGCCGCTGAAACTCGCACAGGCCGCAAAACTTGACATTACGGACATGCCGACTGGGAGGGGCTCAGAGACTTCTTCTCTAGCTTTCCTTGGAGAGATGTCTGTTTCACTGACGCGGATGCGTCGACTGTCTGTTCTTCAATAACCGAAATTATCCACGTCGGAATGGAGGAATACATCCCTCACACAGTGAAAGTTCCTAAACCAGGGTCCAACGGCTGGTTCAACAAATCGTGTGACACTGCTCGCCAGCAGAAGATCAAGGCCCACAGAACCTACTTACAAAACCCCACTGTAGAGAACAGACAAGCCGACGTCGAGTCCAGAAACAAATATAACGAAGCGGTTCGCAATGCCAAAACCCAGCATGATATAAAAGTTAGGCACAGGGTAATGTCGCAGCGCAATGGCAGTCGGTCTTTCTGAACGCTGGCAAAGCAGATTGAAAAGAACTTCTCACACAGTAGCCTTCCACCACTTACGTGTCAGGATGGAACTATTGTATTCGACTCAAAGGCCAAGGCGGAAGTGCTAGCAAAGATCTTTGCTGCCAACTCCACCATGGACGTCCCCACCAACGCCCAAGTGCCGCCAATTCAAAAGGTTCCCCACACTATGCGGGAGGTAACATTCAGGCATAAGACCGTAAGACGAGTGCTCTTGTCGCTCGACATCAACAAAGCTTCTGGTCCGGACTTGATTCCTGCCATTGTACTGAAGAGATGTGCAGCTGAGCTTGCTCCAGTTCTTTCGCGTCTCTTCCAGATATCTTATGAATCCGGCACCTTCCCAGAAAACTGGAAATTTGCTCATGTACAGCCCATCCCAAAAAAAGGATCTAAAACCGACCCTTACAACTACAGGCCTATAGCTCTGCTTTCTGTTATAAGTAAAGTGATGGAGAGGTGCATAAATCGCGAGCTTCTGGACTACCTCGAACGTCACAGCTTGATTAGCGACAGGCAGTACGGTTTCCGGCACCAACGATCCACAGGGGAGCTTCTAGCTTACGTCACGCAACTGTGGAGTAAACTCATCCAGTCTCATGGTGAGGCTCATGTCGTTGCTCTTGACATCACGAAGGCGTTCGATCAGCTGTGGCACGCTGCCCTCTTGAGCAAACTTCCATCCTACGGCCTCCCAGAAAAGCTTTGCAGATGGGTGGCTGACTTTATCTCTGGCCGCAAGATATCCGTCGTAATTGACGGATTCTCCTCTTCATCCCACAACGTCAACGCGGGTGTTCCCCAGGGATCGGTTTTGGCTCCAACACTGTTTCTCTTAAGTATCAACGACCTCCTTTCCTGCACGATCAACCCAATCCACAGCTTCGCTGATGACAGCACTCTACATGCAGGAATTCAGAGTGACAAGCCGATCTCTGCCGCTGAGCTGGAAAAAAGAAGACTAGCCACGACTTCTTCTCTGACAAGAGACCTGGAGGTTATCACTGCTTGGGGACTCAACAATCTTGTACAGTTCAATGCTTCCAAAACACAGTACTGTACTTTGACGAACAAAAAGCGTCCTAGCGCTCATACAGTTCCGATGGACGGTCGAGTTCTACCAAAGAGCCATTCGTTTCGGCTGGTCGGAGTCCAGATCACCGAGGACCTGATCTGGCACGAACACATCTCTTCAATAGCTGCAGCTGCTGGGAAAAAGCTAGGCTATTTGTTTAGGGCTAAGAAGTACTTTTCTCCGCATGACCTTCTCACTCTATACAAGGCCCAGATAAGGCCTAGCCTCGAGTATTGCTCACACATTTGGGGCGCTGCCGCCCCGACTACATTGTCCATGCTCGATGCTGTCCAGAGGAGGGCGGTCCGACTGATCGATGACTCTTCTCTAACAGACAGTCTCGGGACTCTTTCGCACCGGCGGGCCGTCGGCGATCTAGCTCTTTTCTATCGCTACACCAACGGGCTTTGCTCCTCAGAGCTCTCTTCCATGATGCCGCCGCGCGATGTGCCTGCCAGACCGACCCGCCTGACTTCGGCGTCCCATCCTAACCGTGTCAAACTTCGTACATCCAGAACTGGCCGATACGACCGCTCCTTTGTCCCGAGGGTGTCTAGATTGTGGAACAAACTACGGGAGGAAGCTTTTCGCAGTTCTACTAACCTTAGGCAGTTCAAAAATCGTAATAACAAAATTTCTTTGGGATCATCATAGCAGCCGCGGTGTTCCGGCATTTAGGCTTCTGCCTGCGCGGCTGTTTCGATATAAAAAAAAAAAAAAAGAATGAGAAGTTTTGGCTTGTTTTCATACCGGCCACACTGGGTCCTCCCTTTAACTCGAGAACACCGACGTAATCGCCTTGAGTGGTGCAGACAACGGTTACTCTGGGATCAGGAATGGAACAGTATTGTCTTTAGTGACGAGTCTCGATTTTATTTATGCATGCACGATGGTCGTGCCAGGGTTAGAAGGCGACGTGGTGAAAGGAAGAATCCACAGTTTTTTGTTGAAAGACATGTTCATCACGCTGTTGGAGTTATGGTTTGGGGTGCTATAGCTTATGGTTCAAGGTCACCTTTAATCTTCATCAGAGGTAACATGAACGCGCAGCGTTATATCCACGTTCTAGAACCCCATCTTTTACCCTATCTTGACACCCTGGCAGATCCAACTTTCCTTCAAGATAATGCCCGACCACATGTTGCAAGAGTCACAATAGACTTCTTTCAACATAATGATGTCACATTGTTACCATGGCCACCAAGATCTCCCGACTTATCTCCAATTGAGCACGTGTGGGATATGATGGGTAG